TCTTCATTTCAGATGCCAATAATCGGATATGCCCTGCCATTCATTTATTCTATTGGCCCGGCGTCTGTTTTGTCTGGGACAATAAAGTCAAATACCTCGCCAACCTCTTGCTACGCACATCGGCACACTGGCTTTTAGCCGTTGCAGTATCGATTGGAAAAAAGAAATCCAAAACGGTCATGAAAGGACCCACCTCACGTCGAAGCGACCGCTATGATCTACACTCGCTTGTCCTGATCGTCATGAGTCATGCATCACGAAGCGCTTCCAGTGATAGCCGAACTAAAAGTACGATTTCTGGAGCACTTCTTCTCAGTTGACCAGGAACCCGCAAGTGTACGTGTCAGAGAGATTTTGGCATGGCGACACCATCCTTTTGGACACGCACGGTCTGTCTGTTTCATCCTTCTGCACAACTTTCTAGAAAGCATGCAGATGACTCCCTTCTTCCCTCGTACAGAACAGGGGGACTACAGGTGGAGCTGGAGAACGCTTGCCAAAAGTAAACAACAATTGCCAGAACTGGAACTGCGATTTCAAACGGTTGCCATAACAGGATTGACAGTGCCACCCAATGATCCACACGTTCGTAACGGTAGGGAGTCTGGTAGACCCAGACCATGCGCAACCGTTTTAAGCCTATAATCCGTGGGTCATATCGCCAGAACAAGGGCTGCGGGGAACGGGTTGGTGCCGATCCCACTGACGTCCTTTCAATATCGAGGGGTGTCCTGGTCTTACAGCAACGTCCAGAAGTCCTCCTGCATGCAGCATCACGCACTCGTATGCCAAGTCTGAGATCAGCCGGAATAAACAACTCCTCCTCATCCCGCGCGTCTTCAGCTCAACTGTGGGTTTTTTTTGTCCAGTCACCAGTAAAAGAGGCCCGCGGCTGGGTTCCTATTGAAGTTGATGTGCCGTCAGTACTGTACGTATACGCAGCCGTACCGGGTATGTATTCGATAATGCCAACAGTCTGTCCAAGCCATGGATCGCTGAGGTTTGTCGTGCTCCCCAAGAGCAGTACTGCATGCGCGAACCGTCCTACTGACACACGTCCCAAGCCCTCACCGTGCTATCCTGTTAAACTCGCTAGGTAAATGTTTGCCCCATGAAGCTGCGCCAAATTCCGGCTCCCTGAATCTATTGTCCATATAAAACGCAACAATTTTTTGCTCTATCTAGCGTTTGGACTCTGAGCTAACGCTCCAAAGGTACAACTATGTGTTCCTAGTTCTTTGCTGACCATAAGAGTGGATCTTTCAAGCCTGTTCAGTGGCATATAGAGCTTTTGTTTGGGCCAGCCGTTTCACTTCAGCTTCGAGGGTTCCCCTTGGTTCTCCAGGGTTTTATTTCAGCATCGACTGTGGTTAATGTGCTCTCTATTGTCTCGTCATAAACCACGGGCACGGTATACGCTCCGTGACATTCGCTTACATTTAGGGATCACCAACATTTAGGGGCATGCTAACAGATCCAACTTCACCAAACGCTCGTCTCATCCACGCGTGCTGCGGCTTCATGCAGTTCAGTGTTAAGGGTATCCCAAGCACAATCAGCCGGGGACCCCACCGGCCAGCCCATGCGCGTCCGCGAGGGCCTTGCTAAACCATGCCCATTAATATCTAGGGGAATGGATACGTATCGCTGGCACGTGTAATCCCAGTACGCCGGCTCCACCGCCAGAATATTGTCAGATTTCCGTCGAGGAATCTCAACATCGATTTGAGCGCTGTGCGCGGCAGTCTTACGATCTCTTATTAACTTCTATTTTGCCGCGAGATTCCACCACTCAAAGAGCCGCAGGACTCCAAGATTTACGAATATGCATCGAGGGCAGGATGCGTATTACGTTCGTAGGGTGTGGTCAAGGAATGCTCTCACGAAAGCATCTTTTTGCATTCACAACACGTGCGGAAGTCTCTCAGCTTCTGCATGTCGTCGTCATTTTAATCAATTTAATTTGCGTTAAGTTGGGGCTATTCCTCTTCGACGATCCTATGCGTCAACTTAAACCAAATGCAAACCTATTCCTGATTAGAATAACATACTGGCCGCAGGCAACTGCTGGCTCGTCTATAAACTTCCCGCACCGATCACCATAGATCTCCCCTTTCTGGCGGTTCGGCTATCCCGAGAATGACCACTCTTATGGCTGTCGTCTCAATGGACCTGTGAAATTGTACCCATCACTGGAGTCAGTAAACTCAAGACATAGGATATCGATCATAGATGTTGGCGACAATGATCTATCGGTTTAAAAATCGCTCTTACAAAGTGGTATCGTTGCGTAGGCAAAGACGGTGACATTCGTTGCATCGGAAACAATCCTCCTTCCGTATTGGCCTATCATGTTTTGCTTCACACCGGGCGATATGCTGGCTAATTTCTGTCCTCCCTTGACAGTTTGATGACCTATTGCCCGAAGACTTTGTCATCGTATGTGCTCTTGATCCAAGGTGGATCGTGTGGCCGATTTCACTACTTCATGCACACCGACCGTGCCAGAAGACCAGCAATCAGCACTTATGGGAAGTCCAGAAAAAGCACACGCTAGGGATTCGATAGCGGTACTGTCCGGCTCGCCGTTTTCCAAATTGGACGCCGAGCACGATGCGCTGCCTTACCTGGCTGATGGGCCGAAAGGCAATCAATACTAGACTTCTCTCCACGGCACTTTAAAGAGTTATTGAATGAGTTACGGCGTCAAGTGGCCTTCTCGCTCACTAATCCGACAAATGGTGCAAAACTTCATGCTTCATAGACCCTGCTCTCAAATACGAAACCCTCGCCGGGATCGGACTTCAACTCCGCGAAGAACAACTGTTCACTACCTGGCTTTGGCCTGAACATTACACACTGAGATTCTTGGGGGTTGACAGTGAGATTGTTTTGGATCATCACCTTCGATTAGCCTGCTGGCTGACATAGCATTACGACGTCCTGTCGAAGAGGGCAGTATGCAGCTCTCTGGATCTGGAGCTTTGTGACAGGAAATGATCTGACCAGAGTTATATTGTTCCATACATAAGCTAGCTTCAACGCAATGACTCTCACCATATATTGTTCGCTACCCCACTTCATGTCCAGTTTGCTGAAATTATCAGGGTTATTGTAGCGGTTCGTACCCGCACATCAAGCCTCACTCACATGCGCAAATCGATGCTACAACCCACCATAACATTGCTTCTATTCCAACACACAAGCCCCAATCTTTATATTGATGTCACCTTCTTCATATACATCGGAAACTGGGGCCCACAAAGCGACTTCTTACTAGGCTTCCGATGTCTGTGGTCGTAGAATACATGAGAATAGCGTGGTCGGTGGATGTCTGGCCCGGGCTGACGCGCCTGTCAGCGCCTCTCATGGGTGGCCGTGCCGATTAATATCGAAAGTCCTTGACCTCTTCCTCAGCCCTGCCGGAACACGCTCGCGTACGGAAACGACCATGTGCGTATCAACGGCGCAGTCCGGACAATCACAACGTCGTCAGATGAAGCTTAGGATCCGGATTGCGGGCCGAAGAGACTCCATGGTCTGTCATGCTGTCGATATTGGTTGATATGCGACGGAAGTTGGAGATCTTGTGGTCTTCGATGAGTATAAATTCCAGTTTTCCGTGCTCTCTTCAACAAATTAAACGCCGCGTAAACTGCAAGTCATTGATCATAACCTGCGATAAGCAGGGGTCTGGTACATCAGGACGGTGGGTGGGATATTAACTGCATTTTCTGTCTATGAGGACATCTCCTAGTATCGTTCCGCTGGAGCGCTATTCGATTGATTTTTACAGGGCGGTCTCGCACTGCCTTGGAGACATTGAACTGGCTGATCACCGTAAGTATAGATGAAGTCCCACATCCCTTGAGGGTAGGGCTTCTAAAACTATCAGCGGACAATTCGACCCAATCAGGCGGGATATGCCGCCAGTGCTCTCACTTACAGGACATGCATCGAAGGTGGTGGATAAGCAGAATTTGCAGGAGTGAGATGAAGTCACCCCTTTATTGACTTGCTGATTTTATGCTCCAGGATCCAGGGCCTTCCGTACATTTTGTCTCGATCATTTTTCATCGAAATTTCTCTGTTTTCTTCGCTCTACTCCTTTCCACCTTGCCATTAAATAAATTGGGTAACCATATATTTCCTGAATCTCTATCTTCTTCTTCCCTGTTATGAACTGCTACGTTTCTATTTAAATCTGTTTGTACGTGTCCTGTAGCTTATATACCGCATATACCGTATCACCTAAACCTTCTTTGCCGCTTTATATTTCCATCCCTTCACTCGAAAAACGTCCTCTTCCAAGTATACCTATAATTAGAATAGATAACGATATTTCCAAGAATCTCTATCTTCTCGCCCCACAAGTTACATAGTTGTTTAGGATCCTATTCAAATTTGTTTGTACGTCTTTTGAGGCTACTACTGCCTCACACGTCCATAGAGCCGTAACCTCAAGATTGAAACCGTATATACCCGTCCTACAACGGATCCTCATATATTTATTTCATTTCCATTACCCAGCCTTCCTCGTTCGTTCGACTCTTAACGTCTTCTCCCTTGACCAGAAAAAGGCCTTCTTCCCAGCATCCTAAAGTAGTAGTACACTCTCCCGCCTTTTTTCTCCTCTCACTTTATCATATATATCAAAAGTAGAGACACGAAAAAAATGTGAGCCACGCTCGTATTAGTTACGTATCATTCTGCACCTCTGGCTTGAGATCTCTATTATTAAGCCTCTCCCAGTTCATTAAGCCATCTCAAACTCGTAGCCTCTATTCAACAAGCAAGCAAACCATCAAGGTATAGAATATTAACCAATCTGCACTCTGAATACATCTTGACTCTAGAAGCCTGTCACTGCCACCTCCCCATACCTCCAAAATATCTTCGTTCTATTATCTAACGCACCAAAACAAAACCTCCAACTCTATTTACATACACAATCAAAAAGTGGTGGATTGTGTGGAACAGCCAAAAAAAAAAAGCCATTACTCCCCCGGGTGGGCTCGAACCACCAACCTCTCGATTAATCTGTTGTTTAACAGTCGAACGCGCTAGCCAATTGCGCCACGGAGGATGATCAATTTCTAATGAAACTGGTAGCACTGATTGGATCGGATGTTGTATAGTCATAAGTAAGAACTTGAAATCTACGGAGATGTCCAGATAAGCGATATAAACCCACAAGCCCCTTCCATATTGCAGAAGACATCTTTCATGGATCGGAGGAGTCCACAAAGCAACACTACAACCAGACAAAAGGATAAGTGTAGGAAAAGAATAAAAACGCTTCATTTCAAGTCATATCATCATTAACATAAGGTACACCTCACAGATTGGACAGCAAAGTGCGTGGATCATCCATCGCTGTCAGCATTATCTCTCTCCTCAAAGGTCAAGAACTCCCTGACATCCTCCCCAGAAACAGTCTCCCACACCTTCTTGATCTGCTGCAAAACTTCATCGTCAAATGCCAGATCCAATGACGCAGGCCGGAAGCTCAGGATATGCTCCTGTGCAGCAGATTCCGAAGATACTGGGTTGCTTATGGTAGAGGCACTTTGCTCATACCGCATGGACCATAGAACAACAGGAGTGGGCGTTGCCTCGACAGTGCGGAGGAGTGTTTCCACTGCAGCGTTCAACAACTGAAAACCCTTCTGCCCACCTATTGAGGTAGAAGCATACAGGATACCTAAAAGCGGAATTAGCTTTAGAACCACTAAGCACAAGTAACAAAGTGGAGGTGAAAGTTGCAACATCAGGTTGTCAGAGGTTGTTTATCGTCAAAGTTTTTCAGACAATGTAGATAAGTATTCGAATGTGAATCATCATGCAAAGCATATAGCGGAAATTGAATGGTTTCAACTTACATTGACTAGCAGCACATTCGCCGGTATCGGCTGAATGGACGAAGATATTGACTGGAGGTATTTCATGCTGCTCAAGTCCTTCCCCTTCCAATAGGATGGAACCTGACGGGAAGGTAACCACAGCACAGGCAGGCGGAGGTGCTTCTTCCGCGATAGGGGGGAAAAGCGACGAGAGTGGTGAAGATACGATAGTGACGGATTTGCTGTATGCTGACGACGGAACTGTAACCGCAGAATCGAAAGGAGATTGTCGAAGACCTTGTCCGACCACCCAGCCAGACGTAACTAATTCACCACCCTGTAACTGAACCCGGACGCCTGGATGTTGCGAGTTCATTGTTCCTGAAGCTGGAGGTTGTGTAGTCAAGCTAGCGACGCCCTTGCTCAGAACATAAACCCCGCCTCCTACGGCGCAAGCACGACAAGCGACCTGAGTGATTTCGGACATGCCACCCCATTTCGGAATGACAGCACCGAATCCAGGGCCGAATACGCCAATGGACCGTAAATGTCTAGCTATTCGCGAGAGAGCAAATGCGGTAGTGGTAGTATTCGGACCGTTGGCGGTAAGGCTCAAAGCAAGCAGCGGAGGGTGTAGAATTTCGGGCACTCTGAACTGTTCGACCAGAAATGCTGCAAACGGTTTGTTCCGGTGTTCTTCCCATATCTCAGGTTGATCCTCATACTCGACGACAAAGCGGAGAAACTTCGTCAGAGCACGCTTGGCTTTGAAGTCAAGAACCTGGTCGGAGAAGATGTCCTCCCTGCTGCTTGGCACCTTAAAGAGCCGACCCCGGTTTGAGGTTTCATCCTCATCTGGCTGATCAGCTGCTTTAGGCACCGCAGAACCCGAAGAGTATACCCACCAACTTCCTACAACGAGGAAGTCGAGTTGTTTGTATACCTTCGAGGAAACGAGGTATTGAAGGAGTATAGAGCGAGCATAGATGATCTGTGGGCTCAATGCTAAGCTGTAAGCCCTCGAGAATGATAGCGAGGAAAGCGGGGCGTTGACTTCGGGATGCTCCGGCTTCGAGATGGAGATGTGGAACAAGCCATCAGCACCATCGGCCTTCTTCGCAAACTCTTCAGCCTCCTGGAGACTGAAGGCAGCCTCCGCTCCTCCATAGTATTCATTCTGATCAACGTGAAGTATCCTCTTCCCAGAGCGGGACAGAGCTCTTCATGTACTGCGTCAGTCAGATTTGCGTAGCTAACGCGAACAGAAGTAGAAGAACTTACAAAGCAAGCAAAGACTGCTGTATACCCGTCCCGACGATAACGACGTCCCAGTCAGTACCATCGAGTGTGTCCATTGTGTGTGTTGAGTAAGAAGAGAAAGGTCGAAATTGGTTGGGTGAGAATTTCTACTTAGCTCGCTAGCGTGGATTACTAAGCGGAAGAACATAAGATCTTCGCCAGCCACGCAAGTCTCGTCTTTTTTTCCTTCATCGCGCTCCTTGGGAGTTTGGCCGGTTTCCCAAGGTCACACTCAATAGTTCAGGTCTTCACTGATCATGATTTATGCGCGAGAGATGGATCTTCGCCCGGTATCTACTGCTTTGGATTTTACCTGAATAAGCGGCTCGAATGCGGCGATACATACTTTCACAAAATCTCTCACGCTTTTTGGTGCTGGCTTCAACTTCACCCATTCTGTTCGATTCTATGCCTGGCCCCAATTTTATAGAAAAGCTCAGATTCACCAGTGATGAGCTTTGAGTCACATGGCTGCTAGTTATGGCTGCTGTGCTTCATAACAAAGACCTCGAATAACTCTTTGCCAACTTACCCTTTGTGTGTCGAATGAACCTCTACCATCCAAACGCAGGGTTTTACCAACATCTTATAGAATAATAACGTTATGTCGCTCCCTCATTGTTTCAGTTGTAAGGTGCAGAGTCTCACCTTCCTAGAGTCGTAGACATGAAAGACACTCTGATATCGAATGGTTCCAGCGAAGAACCCATTAGTTTTGAAACGATGCCTCTTTAGAGAAAGACTGGTACACTGGAGCAATATGAGTTCAAAGTTGGGCTTGTGTGGCCCGTCATTCGAAAGGATGTAGGTCATTTTCTATGATTCTATGGCTGGCCAGAACAGAGAGGGTCCGACACCCGCTTTCTGGGTTGCATCCCACACGAGCAAATCCCAAGTCCTGAACATTGGAAGACGTTTTAGCTGAACTGATGCCCAACCTGTGGTTTCGTTTCGCGGACAACCTCCTTACAACTTTGCGAGGACGGAGTCGGCGCCAGAAACCTAGTGAGTGTCAGTATTGTTTAGGGCAACCTTGACACATATATTTTAGGACTTACGGTAACCTGGCTGGCATTCTTCTCGTTCTCAGCATAGGTGATCTTGCCATTGTCGATGACCATAGCCCAGCGACCATTGCGATCACCCATACCAGCTGGCCATCCGTAATTCTTGCTGAAGAAGGTCTTGGTATCGGACAGGAACAGCTACGCTCCCAGTCAGTATAGTCCAATCCAAATTCCTCGGCTAGCTTACAATGTCATCGCCTTTGACGCCGTTGACCTTGCCCCATGCATTCATCACCCATGCATCGTTGGAAGCAATGACGGCAATGATATCAACGCCCTTATTCCTGAACTCCTTGATCTTCTCGATGTATGGTGGGAGGTGGTGGGCCTGGCAGCCTGGAGTGAAAGCGCCTAAAAGGGCAGCTGTCAGTATGGTTGTGTAGCAGGCGTACGAGGTCACGTACCAGGAACACTGAAGAGAACAACCTTCTTTCCGGCCCACTCCTTGTTGGCGTCGTACTCTTGAGGACGACCGCATGCAGTGGGGTCAGAGTCGGTAATGGGAGCCCACCTGCCATCTTAATTAGCTTCGTTCGAGTAATAAATGGTTTGCTTCCACGCTTATAGGACAAGTATATTGCCATTGACGACGTGGTAAGCTGGTAGGAAGGTTTTGAGGACACTCACTCGAACTTTACACCCGCTGGGAAGGAATCGCCAACTTGAAGAGGGGCCATGATGAATTGGTGGGATGTTGTTGTGTTTGTGAGGAAGTAATATTTGTGAGCGGGGTCGGGTTTGGATAAGTACTCAAGAGAAAAGCGGTGTAAGAGCGGTCAATTGAAGTTAAGGATTGGATGAATCCATGCAGGGATGCTCTCGAAGGTATAGAAATGCATAGATCTCACTAGATCCGAAGTCGGTTATGGAGGGGTAGCTACGGATTTCTAATGCTCGGGGTAGCCAGTAGCTGCGTCATTAATAGTCTAGAACAACATTCGGAGTTTAGAATCATGTCCGAGGCATAACCATATCACTCATACACAGTAGAGAAGAAACATCTGAATAAAGAATAAGGAATTGTTCATTCGGGTGTGTCAATGCTTGTGATAGGCAACCACTACATCGAACCGGCCGCGGACCCGAGCCGATTCCGAGCTTACTGATGGAAAGGTATCGTGACGAACCCCTAGCAGCTATTTGAATAAGTATATGATCATTGTACATACTGTTTCAACAGACACTGCAGGACGCTCACGATCCACAAGATGCAATTGAAATTAAGCTCTAGAAGCCCGTTAGCAGGGCCTCATTACCAGCATGGCACTTGCTTCACCCTTCACCGCAGAAACGGCCCGTACAAAGGTCAAAAAGGGCCAAGATTTCTGGAATACCCAGTAAGACGACATCCGAGCAGACCTGAATAGGTCCTACCTTGTTAGATCCAAAGAAAGTAAGCAAACGCGCACACCCCAAAATTGCATATGGCGTAATCAAACTTCATTCTTCAGTGGGACCTAGGCAACGATGTGGAGATGTATGGGGTGGAGCGGTGGTTTAAAGATGGCGTTCAGGTACATGAGGTGGAGATTTCTGAAGCTCACTGGTCGATTTGTAATTATGGGAGATGGCTCCATGCAATGTTAAGTTTCTTCCAATAGTTATTGGAAGGGGTATCATTCGAGCGCTCAAGACAAGTTATAGCCAAGGAAGGGAGGGCATGACGTTTATGTTATCATGCCGGGGGTGTATCATGTACAACGACAAGTATGAATTTCGGATCTGTGAGTAATCAGTCGTTTGTCACATCCTATGCCTCCAGCCGCTTAGGACTCACCAGGGACTATCACCAGCTCATTTTTCTTGGTCCGTAGCCTCAGCAGCTTGACCTCATCTTCGGAGTCTAGTTCCTCCACCAGTGACCCCGCTGCAGTGAG